TTTCCAGCTATGTAAATATCTTCTTCCTTTATTCTATTAAGTTCTGTGCTCAAATATCACTACCACATAGAGGCTTCTGACTTCTCTGTCCACAACAGGAACCCCTGTTACACTGCTTTCTTTTCCTTCACAATGTTTACTACATACTGTATTACCCAGTTTGCATTGCAATAGTGAAAGATCTGAGACTGCAAACTTTATGAAGCAACAAATGTGTTGAGCTCACAGTTTTGGAGGTTCAAATCCAAGACTAGGTGGCCACATTGGTTTGGTCTCTGGTGGAGGTGGCAGATGACAGCACTCATAGACGGAGCATTTGTTGAACAAAAAAGTTACATCTCTAACCAGAGCAGAAAGAGAGTGGGTAGAGCCAAACTCAGGCTTGAGGAATTTGGCCACCACCACATGCCATGGATTACCTATTCCACCTTGGCAAGGAGATTTTCCTAGAATCTTGTGTGCATGTGTATTTCCTGAGTCCAGCTGTGGTCTGCCAACACTGGGCTCAGAGACCAGAGAAGAGGGAAACTCCTAGAGAAATGAGGAAGCTGCAAAGTTATTGTAGGCACATGGCATCCTTCCAGGAACTGGCTGAGGAGGGCAGCAGGGAAGCAACAGGGGTAACCTATAGCCAAGGGACTGAGGGAAAGGCATGGGTCTGGGTCTCTAATCAGGTCAAGTGGCCTTCTGCAGGAATTACTCTCAACATCAAGATTTAACCTGATACATAAAAACACATGGAGTCCGCCTCCTCACCATTAACAGAGCCAGCCAAGAAAGACTGTGATTAAACATTAGATATAGGGGTGGGCACTGTAGTACAGCAGGTTAAAGCCCCGGCCTGCAGTGCTGGCATCCCATATGGGCATCAGTTCATGTTCTGGCTGCTCCACTTCTGATATGGCTCTCTGCTATGGCCTGGAAAAGCAGTGGAAGATGGCTCAAGTGCTTGGGCCCCTGCAACTGTGTGGGAGACCCGGAAGAAGCTCCTGGCTCCTGGCTTTGGATTGGCCCAGCTCCGGCTGTTGTGGCCATTTGGGAAGTGAACCACAGGATGGAAGACCTCCCTCTCTCTCTCTCCCTCTTCCTCTCTGTAACTCTTCCTTTCAAATAAATAAATAAATAAATCTTTTTTTTTAAAAAAAAGGTATAAACTTGAGTTATTAAGTTTAGTAAAAATTATCTCAAAATATAGTAATAAAATCATCTTTAAAGTGGCTCCATTATTTCAGGCCTAGAAAGCCAATATTGTGGCAAAAAAAATGTCCTACATGAAGGATCTCCATGACTGAGACCCCAGTGGAAGGAAGTGGCCATCAAAGAAGGATGTACTTTTCTCTAAAGGGAGGCAAGAACTTCCACTTTGCCTGTCGCCTTGCCTAAATACTGACAGAGACTGTGGACTCAAAGGCTTCCATAGCCTTGGCAGTTGATGGTAAGAACCTCGAGTGATCACTGACATCAGACATAAGAGTGTTAATTGTTAAATTAGCAATAGGAGTCACTGTGCACCTCCTCCCCATGCAGGACCCCTGTCCTAAATGAGTTGTACTATGAGATTTAACTGTAAAACTTGTTCTCAGTTTTTTATATTGTGTGTGTGGGTGTGTGTGTGTGCAAATAGTTGAAATCTTTACTTAGTATAGAGTTGGCTTTCTGTGTATAGTTAATTGAAGGCTGGCGCCGTGGCTCAATAGGCTAATCCTCTGCCTTGCGGCACCGGCACACTGGGTTCTAGTCCCGGTCGGGGCACCGGATTCTGTCCCGGTTGCCCCTCTTCCAGGCCAGCTCTCTGCTGTGGCCATGGAGTGCAGTGGAGGATGGCCCGGGTGCTTGGGCCCTGCACCCCATGGGAGACCAGGAGAAGCACCTGGCTCCTGCCTTTGGATTAGCGCGGTGTGCCAGCCGCAGCACGCTGGCTGCGGCGGCCATTGGAGGGTGAACCAATGGCAAAGGAAGACCTTTCTCTCTGTCTCTCTCTCTCACTCCACTCTGCCTGTCAAAAAAAAAAAAAAGTTAATTGAAAATGGATCTTAATGAAGAATGGGACTGGGAAAGAGAGAGGGCGGAGTTAAGTAGGGAGGGAGTAAAGGACGGACAGGTATGGTGGGAAGAAACACTTTATTCCTAAAGATGTATTTATGAAATTTAGACTCATTAAATAAAAGGTTTCTAAAAAATAAATGAATTAAATAAAGTCAGCTTTCGTATAAAAAATAAAAGTGGCTCCACAAAATTGTTTCGAACTAGCAGTTATTTCACAGCTACATTTGAGGTAAATTAATGAAAATTAAGATTTAAAAAAAGAAGAAGGTAGGAAGGACGTCCTAACATATCATCTTTCAGGGGCGGAGAACCTTTTTTCTGCAGAAGAGCCATTTGGATATTTATAACATCATTTGCCGGCCATACAAAACCTCAAATAAGCCTGCTATAGATTTATTGAATTTCGAGTCCCACCTGCAGTTGCCTTGGCAGGGCCAGACCAAACACTTTCCCAGGTTCTATAAGGCCCATGGGTCAGACCTTGCCCACCTCTCTGACAAATAGTGTCACAGTTTTTGCTTTAATGCTCCTCTTAAAAGTTTATCCTGTGAATTACGTTATACCTGCTGGTAGCAAATAGAAATTTCAAGTTCAGTATGAAAAGGCCAAGAAATCTCTTCAAATGGTGAGTGAAGCTTTGTACTCAAAATTATAAAGAGACAGTAAGCAGCACACCACCCCTAGAAGCAGCATTTCATCCGATTACATCCTTTATTTTGACAGGAGACATTTAGGTCATGACCCAAATGGTGCTATGTGTACTATTATTCTCCTTTACATGGATGGTGATGACTCACAATCCTTTGAAATCAGTAACTTTGTCAAAAATGTGTAAGTAAACTTCTGGTCAACTTAGGAAAACCTACCTGAAGTCTTCTAAAGTCAAGCTAACTAAAGAGCTTCCAGGTACTACACTTGTCATAGAGGATACATTAAGAGAAGGACATTACTCACTTTGCTCGGCCTCTGTTCCACCTTCTCACCCATGCTTACACAGCCTTATTCCCATGTTCTCAGAGATCAACACACCAAAAGATAATCAACCTTTTACAGAACCAGCAGGCTTTTAAACCATTTTTCATTCCTTTATCACCAAGAAAGTCCTTACATCTCAAAAGGGCATAAGCTTAATGAATTCTGTGTCATCTGCAGATATCTAAAGAGAAATAAACTCCACAGCTTTTTGGAAACTATTTTGTACACTATTTTGGTTATAAGGAAATTATATCCTCAAAGGCCAGCATTACAGCATAGCGAGTTAAGCTGTTACCTATGACACCAATATCCCCATGTGAGTGTTGGTTTGAGTCCCCATGTTGAGTGTTGGTTTGCTCCACTTCTGATCCAGCTCCCTGGTTGTGGGGAGCAGGGCCTGTCTCCCGCAACATGGCAAAGTAAGTACTGAGACTACCGAGATTAGATTAGACCACTGAGACTATTAAGACTAACTCTATGCATCTGATCTCCCATCATATGGTGCTGAGAGAGAGTAAACAAATCTTACACAGCTGCTTCATTAATTAGCTGATTCCTGACCCAACCCCTTAAAGGGGAGAGAGACAACATGCGCCGCCGCCCCCTGAGAGAGTCGGTCGGAGAGCTCGCCGGTGCTGCTCCTCTGCGGAGGCGGGGGAGCGGCAGCAAATCCGGGAAGGGCCGGGGAAAGAAAACAGCATCCGGTATGGGTCCTCCGCGAGCCCGCGGAGGAGCAACACCTGGTAATGCACCTGGGAAATCAGTGAAAGATGGCCCAAGTGCTTGGGTCCCTGCATCCACGTGGGAGAGCTGGATGGAATTCCTGGCTCCTGGATTGGCTTGGCCCAGCCCGAGCCATTATGACTACTTGGGAAGTGAACCACCAGATAGAAGATTTCTCTCTCTCTCTCTCTCTCTCTCTCTCTCCCTCCCTCCCTCCCCCTATGTGTGTCTGTCTGTCTCTCTAACTGCCTTTCAATTAAATAAATAAATTTTTTAAAAAAATAAGGAAATTATATCCTGAACACTTAAACATAAACATTCCTGCAATTTCAGGTCCCTATGAATATTCACACATACTAGGTACTATTACCTCCAAGTAAGGAGAAAAATGAGCTATTTTTATGTGCTGACCCTGGATAAAAGCTCACACATCAAAGCAATCTTTTTCTGAAACTAGTGCTCAATGTAATAATTAAATTTTAAAACAGTTAAATGCTAGGAATGTACTCTGATTTTTTGAGTAAGTAGCATTTGTTTAGAGCAGTGGTTGTTTTCAGTGCTAAATCACTTCAAACAACATGCTAGGATTTTTTTTTTTCTTTCCACTGAAAAGTTTCTTTGAGAGATCAAACTAATTTAATCTTAATGCATTTTAATAAATTTAAATCAAGTCTCCCTTTTAATTATTCTTACAGGGGCCAATGCTGTGGTATATCAGGTTAAGCCACTGCCTGCCAGCATCCCATATGGGCACTGGTTTGAATCCTGGCTGTTCCACTTCCCATCAAGCTCCCTGCTAATGTGCCTGGGAAAATAGCAGAAGATGGCCCAAATGCTTGGGCCTCTGCCACCCACATGGGGGACCAAATGAAGCTCCAGCTCCTGGCTTCAGTCTGGCCCAGCTCCAGCCATTGTAGCTGTTAGGGAGTGAATCAAAGGATGGAAGATCTCGGGGTGTGTGTGTGTGTGTGTGTGTGTGTGTCTCACCCTCTCTCTGTAATTCTGCTTTTGAACTAAAATAAATAAATCTTTTTTTAAAAAATTGTACTTAGAACCGTTCACATATTTATTCCATGAAATATCCATATATTTTAAAAATGAGGGACTGTCATTTAGCTAGAGTTCAGCATATTCTTAGTACTGAGTAAAATAATGGTGACTTCCCTGGGTGAAACTATCACATGTAGCCAAAACCACAGCACATTTCTTAAACCAAAGTAATAATAATAATAATGATAATACTGCTTAAACAAGACCTTTGTATTGTTTTCGGAGGCTTGGATAACTCTTCATACACGATTGTGAGTTTATCAGATCTCAATCTTTTCTTCAATTTCATCTTCGTTTTCCTGGGATAGACAATGTAACTGATGCCAGCTTTTCTAGATGCCTCAATGAGAGAGACAGAGAGATCTCTCACAGCATGTTTTTCCTGAATGTTGTCTAAGAGGACATCTATGCTTTCTTTTGCTGGCTTGGATTGCTCGGTTTTACTCTGCTTAGTGAGCAGAAACTCCCACTCTTTTGCTTTCTGGAACATCACCTCTTTTATATTGCTTTGCATGTCATCCTTGATTTCTAATGGAACTGCTGTCTCCTCCTTCCTCAATTCAACAGCAGATTTTACTCTCTTAAAAAGGAACCAAAGAGGTAGAAAATATATAAACTCAATTTAGTGCTATGTATTTAAAATCAATTTAGCTACAATTCTTATTAATGTAGGTTTGGTGTCTTCACTGCAATATTTTAAATCATGTACTCTTAAGATTATTCAAAAGTCAGCTTACAAAGTCAATACAGGATTAGTTAAAGCACAGGACAATTATTTGGTTGGATATGACCAAACAAATTTTGTTAGGTATATAAAAGCAACATTTTGACAACAACACACATAGATCGACATTTACATATAACATTATATATAAGCAACATTCTGATACTTTGTTAGAATTGTAAACAATACTATAAAGTGGATATGCATCAAGTATGATTTTATGTACTTTAAGTAAAAGATAATGTACTCTAGATATTCAAATAACGTATATGCCCTACCTTCACTTTTAGCACAAAAGAATCAGTAGAGCAAAAACTACTAAAAAGCCTTGTCAACTTGTAAGTCTATTTTCAACAGTGAATTTCAATAACTTCCAACTCAATATTTATAAATTTTAATAATAGAACCTTAGTCTGTTATTTTGTCATTAGAGAATCAATTTGACTTTTAATAATAATATTTAATATTCTAACACTAATAATGTACAACAATAATGCATAATAATTAAAACTCCACTGTACTCATTACTAACAGAAAATTATTTCCAGTCCTTTGATACAGTATTCCTATCGATGAGCCATTGCCAACAACTTTGCTTTGTTTTGCCAATGAATTAACTTCATTTTGTTTTGTTAATAAACATTAATTTGTTATAGAAATTTCTTTCTTTAGAATGAATTTAGACCCAAATCCAAAACAAAACAATTTAATACAGGTTAACTACATCCTTTAAAATGTACTAAAGTAAAATAGAAGCATCGACCCTCCATGACTAAGTATATTTCCCCATCTCAAGAAGCTAGATATAATTTAACATGTTATTAGAAAACAGAATAAAGAATACACATATACGCTTTTGAAAAAACCATAAAGTGATTACTACCCCCAAAACACAATCATTTCTCTTAGACACTAAAAACTGACAAAATTTTAATACCTTTAATTGTACAGATGGTACCCTGGAAGATTTTTTAATATCTCCAAAAGATGCAGATTTTCTTAGTGACAAAAACTGTGAAATTATCAAATGAAAAACATGCATTAACCACACATATTATTTGCTAAACTGAAATATCATATGACAATTGGATAATAATAATTCTTCAGGAAAACACAAGTGAAAATACAGTTCTTACTGATTCTGAAATCACTGATTCACAGAGGTGAGAACATAAAATTTATCAATTAATTTATAGTAGTACATTAGTAAAGGATATAGTAAAAACTACCTTATATTTAAAATTACAACTTGATATAGCTTCATATAGCAAATACCAAGGACCTGCTGTTTGGAAGATGCTACAGTGCAAAGCGTCCCAGCTGGCCTAGGTGCCCTCCAGATGTGTATGAATGTACCACAGAGATGTTGAACCATCAATGCTGTCAAACTTGAGGCTGTACAGAAGTCAGCTTGTGAAGAGCCCTGGCAGCTCTGCCAGCCAAGAGTTGGATCACCGGAAATGGAACTGCCCTGAAGTCGAAGGACGCCCAGGTCAGAGCCACAGACTTTGCTGGGTCCAAGCTGAAAAGCCCTTCACTCTGCCCAGCTTCCAAAGTAGCACCACTGCTGAGGGGATGGCCAAGTAGGGTCAGCAACATTGCAGGCAGAACTGTAAATTTCCTGTTAGAGATGCCACCTGCCTTTACCTGGCCAACTCTCCTCCCAGGCCAGCTAGGTGATGGAAGTCAACAGGGTGTCTTCCCCAAGGAGGTTCACACCTCCCTTATGATGCACCCCATGTGAAGAGATAGGTCGGGGCCTCATAATTGTCAAGGCCTTAATGCCCACCAGATTATTGTCAAGACCCTTCTGTCAGTTTCTATTTGCCTCTCAATCAGAAAACTTAGTCATGGCTTAGATAGCACCATTCTTAGGTCCTCTAGCAATGACTCTGTCCTTTGTTCTAGATCTTATCTAGCCCACTTGGGGCCTCATTCCTTTGTAATCATAGCCTCTACTCTAACATCAATGGCTCTACTCCCGACCTGTGTGTATTGATGGTGCTCTCTCACACTTAATGTTGTATGATTTTCAGAATGTCTCTACAGACAAACCCCTCTACCTGCAAAAGTTGACTGAACTTTCTCCCAGTCTTGGTTGGGATCAGCTTTAAACCATGTCCATCAAACAGTCCTCACAAGGGTCCAGAGACCCCCCTCATTTCCTCTCCTCTATGAAATCCTCTCATTACCTGGCTAATGCCACTCTTAGGATCATTGGTTGCTATTCTCATGCTGTCTTTCATACTACAGCGTCTGTTTAAGTGTTTACAGGAGTTGATAATGGAACAAACCAAGGCCTTCAGCAGCCAGGTGGTCAACCAAATGCAGCTGCAGAGACAAACTCGGCTCCCTACCCAGGAGACAACAGTCTGAGACATCGTCCTTCATCGCCCATGTCGCAGGAAGTAGCTCTAGAAACAGATCATCGTCTCTCTACCCCTCCTGGACTTTTGGGACTCTTGTAATCACATACAACTCTTACTTTATAAAAAACAAAAGGGGAGAATGTTGGTAAAATGGCGCAGTCCCAACATCATCCCAGGCTCTAGCCCCCACCACCATTGCTGGAAGCCAGGTAGCCATACGGCCCAACCACCAGTGTCAGCCCCACCCCCATCCAAATGGGATTCACTGCTCCTACTACCCTGCCTGCCCCTGGCAAAGTTTTAAAAGGACCTGTTCCTGATCATGTGGCTCTTTCTCTTCCCTCCATCTCCTCACCTCTGTCTCTGTCTCTGTCTCTCTCTCTTACACTCTCCTTCTCTTTTTCCTTCTTCGCCCCTTCACTCTGGTCTATCAGGTTTCCACCAATAAACTCTTTCCCTTAAAAAAAAAAAAAAAAAACTTAAGGCTGTATTAATGGGGCCTGGGCAGCCACTGTCCCTTGGACAGTCATCTCTGATCATGAGCAACTTCAAACTCTTCCTTTAGGGAAACTACATATGTAGTACCACATACTATAATGACACCAAGAGTAGTGCTATTTTATTCAAAGACTTGCAAAGCATTACTACATCATGGTGGAAAGTACAAAGAAAAAACGTTCCATGCCCTCAAATAGTATAATGGTGCAAACAACAATAAAGAAATATGCACAATCCACAGCAACTGTAGCAATGACTATTAAAATGGCACACATTGGGTCAAAGGGAATGCAGGAGAAGCAGCAGTCTCTTTTGAGAGGGGAACAACCTGGATGGACCAGTTGGAAGAGGTAGCATCAGAACTGTCATGTCAAAGGTAACAGAATTTCTATAGACTGAAAAGAGTTTGCGAGCATCTCAGGTCAATCGAATAGCCTCAATAATCACAGTACTGATTTTATTTGGTAGGTGAAATTATTAAATGTATCAAGATGTATAAGTGATAGAATCACACCTGTGTTTTAAGAAAGTAACAGGACAGAATGGAAGAAGTAGCTGCTGAAAATGGGAATATCTGATTCATAGGTATAAGCAGTACTATTACAATAGTCTAGGAAGTGCAGATGGCATTCCAAACTAGGAAAGTATTATTTGTTGAGTCAATTATTTTAAGTGACAGTCTCTGGTGCTAGGTGCTCTGGATAAAACAACAAAAACAAATGATCCCGGTTGCCCCTCTTCCAGGCCAGCTCTCTGCTATGGCCTGGGAGTGCAGTGGAGGATGGCCCAGGTGCTTGGGCCCTGCACCCCATTGGAGACCAGGATAAGTTCCTGGCTCCTGCCATCGGATCAGCGCGGTGCGCCGGCCGCAGCGCGCCGTCCTTGGCGGCCATTGGAGGGTGAACCAACGGCAAAGAAATACCTTTCTCTCTGTCTCTCTCTCTCACTGTCCACTCTGCCTGTCAAAAAACAAACAAAAAAAACAAATGATACAACACCAAGCTGGTGAAGAATAAAAATATCAAATTTACATAAGGACAAATATTTCGTAAGTACTGTAAAGAAGTAGTAAAGATGACCTGTATGAAAAGAATACCTGGCTGGCGCCGCGGTTCAATAGGCTAATCCTCTGCCTGCGGCACTGGCACACCGGGTTCTAGTCCTGGTCGGGGCGCCAGATTCTGTCCCAGTTACCTCTCTTCCAGGCCAGCTCTCTGCTGTGGCCCGGGAGTGCAGTGGAGGATGGCCCAAGTGCTTGGGCCCTGCACCCGCACGGGAGACCAGGAGAAGCACCTGGCTCCTGACTTCGGATCAGCGCAGTGCGCTGGCTGCAGCAGCCATTGAACGGTAAAGGAAGACCTTTCTCTCTGTCTCTCTCTCTCTCACTGTCCACTCTGCCAGGAAGGAAGGAAGGAAGGAAGGAAGGGAGGGAGGGAGGGAGGGAGGGAGGGAGGGAGGGAGGGAGGGAGGGAGGGAGGGAGGGAGGGAGGGAGGGAGGGAGGGAGGGAGGGAGGGAGGGAGGAAGGATACCACAGTGCCTTGCACCCCCACAAATTAAAGCGTCCCCTGCATATGGGGGTAAGAAAGGAGGAAACATAGAGACATATGATAGGAGTTTGATTTGTCCCAGGGCACTAAGAATCTCTACTATGTGGCATTCAGCATCCCCAGATATCAACAAGGGTTAGGAGAGGGCTGAAGGCAGCAATGAGAAAATAACAAAAACTTTTTGTACCCTCATAAATATTGAGGCATTATTAAACCAGTTACGTAATTTTCAAACCTTTCTTCCTCTAATGATGATTTCTTGTATCTCTTTAGTTGTTTATTACTTGGTAGGCTTCCTTGGATACACTATAGTAACACTAAAGTCACATGTATGCATCTACTCACTCTGCAGAATAATCAATTCTACTCTACTTTACACCAACAGTTACTCCATTTGGTCAAAAGACACGTAAACATGTTCCTCTGACTATTAAAGTTCTAGGCAACAATAAGTGGAAAAATGGAAAATTTTGGGAAAAACTCACAGCAAACAGCCTGCTGTTGATTGGTGAATAGCACCTTCTAAGTATCTTAAGGACAGAATATTTGAGAAAGGGATATGTGTCTTTAGCAATAATACCATTGAATGGGCTAAGCCATTTCCCAAAATGAGGAAGCACCAAGAAATAATTTCTGAAATTTACTACAGATTATTTCTGAAATGAAGACAGATAGTAGTAATCCACAATTTAAAACAAAAATTATACATACCCTACAAATGCTTTCGCTATGACCTACAATAATACTTTCTTTACTTTCCGATGAAAATTTCACAGTTAAAATTTGGCTTGCTTGAACGCTCTGTGATAAAAAAAAGATAGCTATCTTAAATTATATTGTAGGATAATTTAAAATGTCTATGATCACTGTTACTGCATAGTACAACATTATTACCCAAAGAAAAACCATGTACCAGGGGTAGAATTCTCAAAGGTTAATCAAAATCCAGAGATGAATCAAAGTCCAGCTACAGCCTAAATATTTGGCCAAAACCCAAAATTTGGCTTTCATATTGGCCTTTAGCTAAATTGATGCTGCTAATTATTCCCAGCAAACTTAACATTAGGAGTGATCGATGATCTTGCTATCTCATAGGTCAACATGAATTTTTTTTAGGTTAGCATGAATTTATATACAATATGTGACTATTCATTTTTCAAATTTAAGCCCAAATTCTAGGTACAAACTAGAATGAAAACTGCCTTAAACAATTAAAACTTTTGAATCCCATCATCAATTAAGTCAGTATGTAACTCTTTATTGTTATATAAATGAACTGCTATAAGAATTGTGACTATTAAATGTGCTACTTATCTTGTAGTCAGTAATTTGAAGATCCAGAAACAACCAAAAGACTTACATTTGACAGCCTGGTGAATTCATGATGACTTATATCATGCTAGCACTTTGTTTACTGAAAGTCTTGGATTTCCAACAACTAACATTTAAATTGAAAAGGTATTTACTGAATAAAGATAAGCTTTCAAAGGAATTTTGTGAAGGTTTTCAAGATGGCAGCATAGGGAAGGAGCCTATGCTCTAATCTAGGAGAGGATAGTTTTCAAAAAGTGGGTAGAAGGCAATCTCAGGGAAGGGTTAGGGAGACAATGGCAGAGAAAACTCCATGCAAATCAGGGGAACACATGACAGGTGTGGACATGCACAGCTTTGGACCCCACAGTCAAGAGCCTCAGCACCAGCTTTGGAGTGAGGCAGAGCAGACTGCAGCAGCCCGACATTCGCGATAAAATGTAGGGAACAGTCTGGCATGGGTCCAGCTGGGCCCAGCTGGGGCCCTGTGGGGGACAGTGTACCTGCCAACCTAGAGAGAAAAAAGGGGAGCACATTTCTCTCTCCCCAACAACCTGGCACCAGTGTCTTGTAACTAGCCAAGAGAGAGAACGGGTGCCATTTTGGAATATAGCTCAGAGCTGCGCCAGCTTGTATCCACATGCCCACCAACCAGCCCAGAGGAGATGCCTGAGTCTGGCTGGGAGAAAAGACAGAGGGCTGGGAGCTCGTGAACATGGGAGCCTTGTGTGTAGGGACTGTGAAAACACTGTGGCTGCATGGGAGGGCACAGGGTATGGCTTGGACTTTGGGAAGTCACTGTGGGAGGCTCGACATGCTTGGGGCTCCCTGATTCCCTGGTAGGGTCACTGTGGCAGGATCTATGTTCATACTGAGGTCTGCACAGATCCTCTGTGTTGTTGTTGTGGCAGTGCAGATGAAAACTGTACCCACTGGGGCTAGCACCCAGGCATTGGTCTCCTTGGAGAAGAGGAGATGAGCATGAAAATATGCCAACAGAACAGAACAAACATATCTGATTAAAAAAAAAAAAAAAGACTACCACAGCCAACTTGGGTGTCACCTTGGATACTCCCTTTGCCCTGGAACACTGAGGAGAGCCCCCTGATCGCACCCAGCACACCCCTCTGGGTATTCAATGAAAGAACAGGCACTCCACTAAGCCACAGAGGCACAGTCCAAAGATAAAAGCCATCACAGGGGGAAAAAAAACAAGTATCATCACAAATGCCTAATAATAAACACAGCAGTTAAAGAACCAAGAATAAAGAAGACACCATGATGCCCCGAAAAGAACAAAAGAACACTTCACTACTGGAATGTGAAGATGAAAGAGATTGACAAAATGCCAGAAACGGAATTCAAAACATTGATCACAGGATTACTTAGAAGTAATCAAAAACAAATTCAGAAACCAAAGAAATCTGCACATGATATAAAAGAAAATTTTTCCCTGAAATTGAGATTTTTAAAGAGACACAAAATAAAATATTGGAAATAAAGAATTCAATAGAAAATAAAAAATGTGGTGGAAAGTCTAAAGAACAGATTAATGAGGCAGAAGAAGGAATATCTGAGTTAGAAGAAAAATCCCTGGAAATTTTACAGTCAAGCCAAAAAAAAAAAAAGGAAGAAATTAGAAAACAGTGTTGGAGATTTATGGGATACCATCAAGTGACGCAACATACTAGTCTTAGGAATTCCTGAAGGGGTGGAAAAAGAAAATGGATTACAAGACCTTTTTAGGGAAATAATTATAGAAAATGTTCCTAATTAGGAGAAAGAAAGTGATGTCCAAGCACAGAAGGCACATAGAACTCCTAATAGACATGATCAGAAAAGATCTTCACCACAATACATTGTAGTCAAACTCTCCACAGTAAAACAGGAAGAAAAGACTCTAAAATGTCCGCAAGAGAAAAGCTAGATTACTTTCAGAAGATCTCCAAAAGACTCAGAGCTGACTTCTCATCAAAACCCTACAGGCTAGGAGAGAATGGAGAAATATATTCAAAGTCTTAAGAGAAAAAAACTTGACAACCCAGAAAACTATACCCTGCAAAGCTCTCATTTTTGAATAAAAGTGATAAAGACTTTCCATAACAAACAGGAACCAAAAGATTTATCATTTGTCCAGCTTTATAAAAGATGCTTAAGGATGTGCTACAAACAAAACACAGAAACATGGTCATCACTATGAAAGAAGATGAAGGCAGAAAATCTCCCAGTAAAAGTAAAAAGGAGGTCCAAAATAAACAATAGGAATATTTACGGGAAAATGGCAGGGTCAGTTAGTTATTTATCAATAGTCACCTTGAATGTAAATGGCCTCAAGTCTACAGTTAAAAGACCTGGCTGAATGGATTAAAAAATAAAATCCATCTATTTGCTGCCAGCAAGAAACACATCTCACCAACGAAGAGACAAGCAGACAGAAAGTGAAAGGATGGAAAAAATATTCCATACTAACAAAAAGCAAAAAAGAGCTGGTGCAGCCATTCTAATATCAGACAAAATAGACTTTAACAAAAAAAACTGTTAAAAGAGACAAAGAAAGACACGATGTAATGATTAAGGGACCAATTAAACAGGAAGATGTGACTATTACAAATGTATATGCACCTAATTACAGGATGCCTGGTTATTTAAAAGAAATGTTAATGATCTTAAGGGAGACATAGACTCTAATACAATAGTAATGGGGAACATCAATGCCCCATTTTCAGCAATGGACAGATCAACCAGACAGAAAATAAGCAAGAAAACAGAGTTAATCAACATTACAGATCAAATGGAGGTAACAGATATCTATGAAATTTCCATCCTACAGTTACAGAATACACATTCTTCTCATCAGGTGCATGGAATTTTCTCTATTATTGACCACATGCTAGGCCATAAAGCAAGTCTCAGCAAATTCAAAAAAATCAAAATCATACCATGCATCTTCTCTGCCACAATGGAATGAAGCTGGAAATCAACAAATCAGGAGCCTCTAGAACATACACAAACACATGGAGACTGAACAACATAACATGCTCCTGAATGAACAGTGGGTCAACTGAGAAATCAAAAACTTTCTGTAAACAAATGAAGATGGCAATGCAACATATAAAAACTTATGGGATACAGCAAGAGCAGTGTTAAGAGGAAAGTTTATAGCAATTGGTGCCTATGGCAAAAAGTTGGAAAAGCATCAATAATACATGAGCTATCAATACATTTCAAGGACATAGAAAAACAACAACAAATCAAACTCAAAACTAGTAGGAAAAAAGAAACAATTAAAATTAGAGAAGAAATCAACAAAATTGAAACCAAGAAAAAAAACATACAAAGATCAACAAAATGAAGAACAAGTTTTTTAAAAATATAGTTGACACACCATTTACTCAACTAACCAGAAAAAGGAGGGAAAAGAACCAAATCAATAAAATGAGATGAAAAAGGAAATCTAACAACAGACACCACAGGAAAAAAAAAAGGAATTATCAGGAATGCCTGCAAAGACCTGTATGTCAAAAACCCAAAAACTGGGAAACCTAGAAGAAATGTACAGATTCCTAGATCCATAAAACCTACCTAAATTGAACCCTGAAAACATACAAAACCTAAATAGACCAATTACCAACACACAAATTGAATCAGTAATAAAGACCCTCCCAGCAAAGAAAAGCCCAGGACCAGAAAGCCTCCTTGCTGAATTCTACCAGACATTTAAAAAACTAACTCCAATTCTTCTCAAGCTATTCAAAATATTTGAAAGAGAGTGAATCCTCCCACACTTCCTCTATGAAGCTGGCATCACCTTAATTCCTAAACCCAGAAAAGATGTAGCATAGAAAGAGAGCTACAGACCAATTTCCCTGATGAACCCAGATGCAAGAATCCTCAACAAAATTCTAGCCAACTGAATCCAACAACACATCAGATAGATCATTCACCCAAACAAAGTGGAATTTATCCCTGTATACAGAAATGATTCAACACTTACATCAATCGATGTGATTTATCACATTAATAAACTGAAGAGCAAAAACCATATGATTATCTCAATAGATCCAGGAACAGCATTTGATAAAATATAATACCTTTTCAAGATGGAAACTCTAAGCAAATCGGGTATAGAAGGAACATTCCTCAACACAATCAAGGCAATTTATGACAAACTCATGGCCAGCATCCTATTGAATAGAGAAGAGTTGAAAGCAATCTCACTAAGATCAGGAAACAGACAAGGAAGCCCACTCTCACGACTGCTATTAAATATAGTCCTGGAAGTTTTAGCCAAGACCATTACTCAAAAAAAAAAGAAAAGAAAAGAAAAGAAAAGAAAAAAGAAACCAAATAGTCAAACTATTCTTATTTGCATATGACATGATTCTATACATAGGGAATCCAAAAGACTCTACTAAGATGATTGGAAGTCATAGAAGTGTTTTATAAATTAGCAGAATAAAAATCCACACACAAAAATCAATAGCCTTTCCATACACAGACAATGCCATGCCGAGAAAAATTTCTAAGATCAATCCCATTCACAATAGCTACAAAAAAAATTCAAATACCTTGAATAAATTTAACCAAAGCTGTGAAAGAACTCTAAGATGAGAATTACAAAACAATAAAGAAATAGAAGATGGAAAAAATCTTCCATGATCATGGATTAAAAGAATCAATATTATCAAAATGTCCATACTACTGAAAGCAATCTACAGATTCAATGCAATACCAATCAAAATACCAAGGACATTCTTCTCAGACATAGAAAAAACTATGCTGAAATTCATATGGAAACACAGGAGACTCCAAATAGCTAAAACAATCTTAAAAAAAAAAAAAAGCTGGCTACATCACAATAACAGATTTCAAGACATAATACAGGGGTCAGTGCTGTGACATAGCAGGTAAAACTGTCGCCTGCAGTGCTGGCATCCCAAATGGGCACCGGTTTGAGTCCCAGTTGCTCTACTTCCAATCTAGTTCTCTGCTATGGCCTGGGAAAGCAGTGGAAGATGCACCTGTGTGGGAGACCCAGAAAAAACTCCAGGCTCCTGGCTTCAGATCACACAGCTCTGGCCTTTGCAGCCATTTGGGGAGTGAACCAGAAGATGGAAGATCTCTCTCTCTCTGCATCTGACTCTCTAACTCTACCTTTCACATAAATAAATAAATCTTTAAAAAAAAGACATACTACAGGGCAGTTATAATCAAAACAGTCTGGTACTGGCACAAATAGATAGACCAATGGAACAGAATAGAAATGCCAGAAATCTACCTATGCACACACAACCAACTTATCTTTGACAAAGGGACTAAAATAAACCCCTGGAGCAAGGACAGTCTCTTCAACAAATGGCACTGGGAAAATTGGATCTCCAAATGCAGAAGTATGAAGCAAGGCCCTTACACTTTACACTCAAAATGAATTAAAAACCTAAATCTATGACCCAATACCATAAAATTATTAGAGGACATTGTGGAAACCCTGCAAGACACTGGCATATGCAAAGACTTCTTGGAAAATACCCCAGAGGCACAGGCAATCAAAGCCAAAATTGACAGACGGGATTACATCAAATTGAGAAGCATCTGTACTGCAAAAGAAACACTCAGCCAATTAAAAGGGCAACAGACAGCATGGGAGAAATTATATGCAAACTATGCAATTGATAAAGCATTAATAACCAGAATATATAAAGAGATCAAGAAACTCAACAACAGCAAAACAACCCACTTAAGAAATGGGCAGGGGCCAGTGCCATAGCACACTAGGTTAATCCTCCACCTGCAGTGACAGCATCCCATGTGGGCACTGGGTTCTAGTCCCAGTTGCTCCTCTTCCAGTCCACCTCTCTCCTGTGGCCTGGGAAGGCAGTGGAGGATGGCCCAAGTGCTTGGGTCCCTGCACTTGAATGGGAGACCAGGAGGAAGCACATGGCTCCTGCCTTCGGATCGACACAGCTCCAGCCACTGCGGCCATTTGGAGAGTAAACCAACGGAAGGAAGACCTTTCTCTCTGTCTCTCTTTCTCACTGTCTGTAACTCTACCTGTCAAATAAATTTTTTTAAAAAGAAAGGAAATGGGCAAAGAACTTAAACAGGCATTTTTCCAAAGAGGAAATTCAAATGGCTAACAGACACATGAAAAAATGTTCAGGATCACTAGCCATCAAGGAAATGCAAATCAAAACCACAATGAGGTTTCACTTCACCCCAGTTAGAATGGCTTTCATACAGAAATCAATAAACAACAAATGCTGGCAAGGATGTGGAGAAAAAGGTGCCCTGCTCCAGTGTTGGTGGGAATGTAAACTAGCGCAGTCACTGGAAGACAGTATGGAAATACCTCAGAAATCTGAATATAGACCTACCATACGTCCCTGCCATTCCACTACTAGAAATTTACCCAAGGGAAATAAAATCAGTATATGAAAGAGTTTTCTGTACCCCCATGTTTAATGCAGCACAATTCAGAATATCTAAGATATGGAATCAACACAAATGTCCAACAACTGAAGACTGAATAAAGAAATTATGGGTTATGTACACCATGGAATACTACACAAAAGTTAAAAAAAAAAAAAGAAATCCTGTCATGGATGAAATCAAACATCATACTTAGTGAAATAAGCCAGTCCCGAAAGGACAAATACCATATGTTCTCCTTGATCTGTGATAGCAGAGTACCTAAAAGATAATCTATAGAAGTGAAGTTAACACTTCAAGATTCAATGACTTTCAATAGCCCTGGTCTTGTCTGTTGAGGAACAGTTCTTTTTTATTCATACAATCTGTGGAACTCTTTACTTATTATAGGGTTAATTGTATGTGTATAAATTTAATTAAAAATAGATCTTTGTGAAAAATAAGAATGGGAATAGGAGAGGAATGAAAATAAGGGGTGGAGGGCAGGAACAGTGGGAAGAATCACTATATTCCTAAAGTTGTATTTATGAAAAGAAAATAAATCATCATACATTCAAAAAATAAATGAAAAATAAAAGTATTATGTAATAATTACTAACAACGCAGAGTCTTACTGGTAATTTAGAAATTTTTGCTCACCTTTTTTGTTGTAGTTTTAGGAATGAATCTAAAACTAAATAAATTTAATTTAGAAATAACAAAAGAAGAAACATCTACAGCACAATGTAAGTTAACAGAAATAGTAGACATACCAGAAAGGTACTGAATCACTTTCATCATTCTTTTCCAAAGACAAATTACATGATGTGTAAGAGATTTCAGAACTATTTTCTCATATGCTTATAAAAGATACTTAAATACAAAGAAATAGCAGCTATTACATATTTTAAAGTATGTTTTCAAGAAAACAAGAACCAAAACCTTAATACCATATTTTATACATGTCAAAGCAGCAGCATTTACTATCAATAGCTGCTTACTTTAAAAGGAAAATATGGTTCATATATTAGAATCTTGGAATCTCTCAAAACACTGCTAAAACTAATCTGCTTTAAGTGAGTAATTACAGTTTTTGCTTATATAAATTGTCTTTTTAATGCATTCAGAGATCCCTTAGTCATTCAGTAGTATGTAGTTCTATTTCCATTAATGTTAAATTTTTTTATTTTTTTTCTTGTTGATCTCTAGTTTTATTTCTTTGTTGCTTGGGAAGTTACATGGTATGATTTCGATTTTATCTAATTTTCCGAGATATGATTTATAGTATAATATATAAGCTATCCTAGAAAATGTTCCATGTGCAGATGAGTAGAATGCATATTTTGTAGCTGTTGAATGAAATGTTATATAAATGTCTGTTAGGTCCCCTTGTCTATGGTGTGATTCAACTCTGACATATATTTTTGACTTTCTGTCTTTCTGTCTGAATGATCTACCCATTGATGACAGAAAAGTGTTGAAATCCCCACTATTTTACTGGAATTTGTTTTTCCCTTTAGATCTAATATTTGCTTTGCACATTTGTTTAGTCTTGTGTTGGGTACATATACATTTATGATTGTTAAAAAGAAATATATGTAATATATAAAATTATAGCAATATATTATATGAATACATAAAATCATAATTTTAGTATATAGGTACATGTTTATACAAATATGTAATGATACATACTTAGAATTATTTAAACATATATGAGTAAAAATAATATCTGCAGGGCCATCTTGATTATAGCAGTAGTTGTCTGACAATTAATTGCCCAGTAAAATTTAATATCATAATCAATTATACAATTCAATTATTAAATAACAACAGCAATAATAGTAGTATAAAACGCATTCAATATGTTACCTCATATTTTGGATACAGGGTTTTCTTCATGACAGATTCTGGAACAGAGAATTTAGGAGCAGCTGGACTCCACAACAACTTTGAAATCCCTGGGTAAGCAGGCACCTTAGAAAACAACAGAAAAGGTTATTAGAAATGGCAAACAAATGACCTCTAAGGTAATTTAATTTTTATAACAATTTCAATTTATTTTATAATCAGAGGCTTAATGTGGCACTAACAATAATGTATAACAAGTAAAAAGCAAAGACCACTGTTCCTCAGCAGTACAGACAAGAGCTAAAAACAAAGCTATCAGAACTGATAAACCAATTCAGTAAAGTTGCAGGTTACAAAAAACAGCAGCTGTTTTATATGTTAATGATGAACTCACTGAAAAAGAAATTCCTGGGGCCCAACACTGTGGCATAGTGTGGAAAGCTGCTGCCTGTGGCACTGGCATCCTATATGGGAGCAGGTTCGAGTCCCGGCTGCACTTCTTCCAATCAGCTTTATGCTATAGCCTGGGCAAGCAGTAGAAGATGGCCCAAGCGCTTGGGTCCTTGAACCCATGTGGGAGACCTAGAAGAAGTTCCTGGTTTCGATCAGTCCAGCTTACGCTAAAAGAACATGTAGGGGGGCCGGCTCTGTGGCGCAGTAGGTTAATCTTCTGCCTACAGTGCCTGCATCCCATTTGGGAGCTGGTTCTAGTCCAGGCTACTCCTCTTCCAATCCAGGTCTCTGCTATGGCCTGGGAAAGCAGTAGAAGATGGCCCAAGTCCTTGGGCCCCTGCACCCACATGGGAGACCAGGAAGAAGCTCCTGGCTCCTGGCTCCTGGCTCCTGGCTCCTGGCTTCGGATGAGCACAGCTCCAGCCGTTGCAGCCATCTGGGGAGTGAACCAATGGAAGGAAGATGTTTCTGTTTCTCCTCACTGTCTGTAACTTTACCTCTCAGATAAATAAATCCTAAAAAAAAAAAAAAAAAAAAAAAAAAAAAAAAAAAAACGACGAAATCCCATTCACAATAGCCACACACACACACACACACACAAAATTTAGGGTTAGAACTTTAACATATCTTTTGAGAAATATTATCCAACCCATTATCATATGTTAATAATAAGGGAAACTGAGTATGGAATATATGGAAAAATCTTGTATTGGGTATATAAATTTTCTTTAAATATAAACTATTCCAAAAATTAAAGTTTATTATCAATAAAATAATAAAATAAGTGATAAAAAGAAAAATAATTTTGAAAAATAGTTTTAAGCAAAAAAGAATAATTTATTTAAGGCAAGAGCTTTAAGAAAGGGTGGTAAGATTTTAAAATAGCTGTTTTAGCCCGTGAAATTAATGGTAATTATGGATTTTTAATGTTTTTAATTGGCTTTCAACATTTATTTGTACCATCCATTTTTTTTCCCAAATGATTTGTCTGTCAGCAGCAAAACAAGCTCAAATGATTTTAAAGTATCACCTTGTAAGCATTATTGTAGGATAGTTATATGAACTCTTAACAGTGATATCTCTGGTGTTGCGGATATTACATAGACTTCCCAGAAGAATATATGAAGACCCAAACCCAGTAAATAAAAATTCTCAATTTTAAGGTTACAATGAATTTTCAGTACTCTTATTTCTAGTCAGAGGCACCTCAACTACCCCACACACTTGACCATGCGTTTCCTACCTACCAGCAGCCTATTTAGAGGAAGGTAGATTTTTCAGGTGCCTAATATAGGAATTCAAAATTGAGTTTTCAGTCTCTCCTGTCCTCAGTTTTGCTAGGTACACTGCATCACTCTTTGCTGCACAGACATAGCATCAGAGTCCTTGTTAATGAATAAACTCTTCCAGAATCAGATGAAAATTCTTCTTCCAGAGATCAACTAGAAATTAACAGCATTTCATGTAATCAAGTGACATGTCACATACAATACAGTGATCCCTTCTATGTAGTAGACATCGGCAGCTTAAGCAGTCAGAACAAAATTATTACCCTTGATGTAAGAAGGACACAGGCCTCAAAGTGGAAAGCAAGCAGGAAAGTATCACTAAACAACAGCACTTTGCTCTCAAAGAAAAGTGTAGATGCACCTTCAGTAGAGAATTTATCAAATCCAACTTGTAAAGAAATACTAATCATGATAAATTGGTTTATGCAGCAATGCTCAGAACACTGTAAGAGTGGCAGGACAATGATGAGAAAACCGCACGATCAGTGGCTGCTAGAACTAACACGTGGGCAGAGACTGTCTGCCCAGCTGAACTACTAACTAGAAAGCATGGGGGTTAATTCCCTGTTTAACAGCTCCTGTAGAGCCCCTAGGATTATGATGTGTATTACAACCCAATTTAATAACTCATGCTCACACCAACCACCACAGGTCAGAATTCTGTCCAACAAGGGAAAGAGACACGCAAATTAATTTCTAGGCTAAGCAAAACTTCATTAAAGGAAACATGAGGCAGAACACCAGTTTCTAAAATGTAGTGTACGACCCTAGAGAACACTACTAGCCTTTTTCACTACATTGACATTTGCACTGATGGTGCCTATATATATATACACACACACACACACATACACACATATATATATAAATCGACAGTGTTTTAGCATGAATCAAGGTAGTAACATCTTCAAAATGCACTTTAAAGGCAGGAAAAATGTTACCTATTAAATGTCAACTGTTAAGTATGCATATTTTAATATTCAATATGATTCAAACCACAAAATGCATCTGTGGTCACAGCAAGTACGATGGTGGTTCTGAGAAACAGCTCAGGCACTACTGTTTGAGTTGTGAACTGAAGTGGCCAACACTTAAATGTCAGAGGAGAAATATCAAACTATAGTTACTGAGGCTTGGATATGTGACAAGAATTTTCTTGACAAAGAATGACACAAATCTCTAACTTCAAATAAAACCCTTCAGAGTATTTGTGCCAATGAAAAAAATGGAGCTTTCGAGCAAAAGTTATAATTTTGGAAAATACATGTCCCTCACCATGACCTTCCACAGGGCCCAATGCTAAACCCTCTCTGATAATATTTTTTAAAACATTTATTTATTTATTTATTTGAGAAGGAGAGTTAGAGATAGTGAGAGGGAGAGACAGAGAGAAAGGTCTTCATTCCGCTGGTTCACTCCCCAGATAGCAGCAAAGGTTGCAGCTGTGCTGATCCAAAGCCAAGAGCTTCCTTTGGGTCTCCCACGTGGTTGCAGGGGCCCAAGTACTTGAGCCATCTTCTACTGCTTCCCCAGGCCACAGCAGAGAGCTGGATTGGAAGTGAAGCAGCCGGGACTTGAACTGGCGCCCATATGGGATGCCAGCACCGCAGGCAGAGGATTAACCTACCAAGCCACAGAGCCGGCCCCTCTCTGATAATATTTAAAAACGTGTTTTTGATATTGTAAATAGAGCACAATATGTCAACATGGGAAGAGCTACATAACTCAATGATTGGTATTTTCCAATTGACTGCTGCATGAGATTTTAATATAACAACATGTGAAAAAGTCATTGATATGGTTTCAGATTCCAATTGCCATGAGCTTTACTGGGGTTCATGTAATACATTCTCTTTTTGATTTGCCCTTTTCTTTTAAATTTTTTTTCTAGTGGCCACAATTTGTATTAAGCTTTTTATTTTGAGATAACTATAAATGCACATGCAATTTTAAGAAAGAATACCCACCTACTCTTCACCCGATTTACCTCAAAGTTAATATCTTAAAACCCTCAGTACACTTTCATTTCTGGAAGGCTAATATTGATACAGTTAAGATATAAAATATTTCCACCAACACAGATCCCTCGTGATGTCCTTTGAAGCCACACTCACCCACTTCTGAAGCCCAGGAAATTATTTCCATAATTTTGTCATTAATCATAATAAAATCATGCAGTGTGTAATCTTTTAGCACTGTTTTTTTCTTTTCAGCATAATTCTCTGAAGAGTTATCATTGTTGTGCATTAGCAATAGTTCACTTATTTTTATTGCTGAGTATTATTTTATTGCTGAGTATTATTTCTACAGTTTGCTTAACCCAATAAAGGATATGTAGGCTTTCCAGTTTGTATTTTATGAATAAAGCCGCTGTAAACATTCCTTGCATAAATTACAATGTGATTGGAGCTGGTGCTGTGGCATAGCAGGTAAAGCTGCAGTCTGCAGTATCAGCATCCCATATGGGCGCTGATTCGAGATCCGGCTGCTCCACTTCCAATCTAGCTCTCTGCTATGGCCTGGGAAAGCAGTAGAAGATGGCCCATGTCCTTGGGTCCCTGCATCCACATGGGAGACCTAGAAGAAGCACCAGGATCCGAGCTTCGGATTGGCCCAGCTCCAGCTGTTGCAGCCACTTGGGGAGTGACCCAGCGGATGGAATATTGCCTCTCTCTCTCTCTCTCTCTCTCTCTCTGCCTCTGCAACTCTGCTCTTCAAATAAAATAAAATAAAATCCTTTTTAAAAAGTTACAATGTGATTAAAAATTTCATTTCTCTAGGACAAATGCCCAGGCATGCAACTTCTGGGTCATTGGTAGTTTCAAGTATAGTTTTTCGGTGTGTGTCTGTGTGTCTGTGTGTCTGGGTGTGTGTTTACTGTCAAACTGTTTTCTAGAGGCCTATATCATTTTACAATCTCATCTACCCGAGTGTTCCAGTTTCTCCATATCCTCACTAGCACTTGATTTTGTCACATAGTTTTTAACTATTCTGTAGTGATATATCATTTTACTTTTAATATGCCTTTCTCTAATAGTTCACAATGTTGAACATAGTTTCATATGCTAATTTGCCACCTACATAACCTATTCAATGAAATGTCTATTAATGTTTTTTTCATGTTTTCCAGTTAGGATCTTTGTTTTTAGCTGTTGAGTTTTGAGAATACATTATCTAGTATGAATATTATTTCTTTGCTGGATATGTGGTTTTCCAAGTCTGTATCTTGTATTTAATCCTCTTTTTAAAAAAAAAAATATTGGGCTGGCCCCGTGGTGCAGGGGGTTAATGCCCTGGCCTGAAGCGCCAGCATCCCATAATGGGAGCAAGTTCGAGACCTGGCTGCTCCACTTCCTATCCAGCTCTCTGCTATGGCCTGGGAAA